CATTGCCGGTAAAAATTTTTGCCTACTGTGAGGTTTAGTTTGGTGAGCTGCTAAAATGTAGATCGTCACATCTCTCACATAGAAAGTCAAATATTTAATTGTTTTATGGAGTGTTAAAAAAATCAACTTTGAATAAGCCCTTTAATTCTGTTATTCCCTCCGGATGAAGGCTGAGAAGATCCCTGGTCACATTTCTTGGAGAGTTATAATGTCCTGCCAAACTTAGATGTTTCATTCTGGCTATGACAAGGTAGATTGTACCCAACTAATTCTTTTGCCAAAAATGATTGTGAAAGCTGGACAAGTTTGTAGAATATATATCCATATATAAAATCACTGCTTGAAGGCAGAGGAGGGCAACCCAAATAAGTTTTGCATATGAGGAACTAGAGTCCTTAAGCATATAAGTGTCACATTTACCCTCAAATTTTTCTTTGAAGACATTCTCAAATCATACTAGGGAATAGATTCAAACAGAAATCACAGTCTTGTTTAGCTGAGGAGAAAGAGATTGGAATCCAGAATTGTCAAACTGTTGCCAGGTACACTGGCGCACGCCTATAATCCCAGAGAAATCAGGAGGCTGAGGCAGGAGGATGGCAAGTTCAAAGTCAGTCTCATCAATTTAGTAAGCCCCTAAGTAACTTAGTGAGACCATGTCTCAAAATAAAAAGGGCTGAGGATGTGGCTCAGTGGATAAGCACCCCTGGGTCAATTCCTGGTACTACTACTACTACCACTAATAATAATAATAATAATAGTTAAACTATTGGAGACTTGAGAGTCAAAATCCTAGAGCAAAGGTCATCAAAGGAAAAGCCCCCCCAAATTTTGCCGTTTAAATCACTGATAGACTTCTCTCTGTGTTTGAATATCTCAAGATTCCAAGAAACACAACAACAACAAATAACAGTAGCTAGAAGGTTAAAGATCTGACAAAGATTTCAAAAGGGCCCTAACAAACACTCCAAACTTTTTAAAAAATATTTATTAATTTTTTTTTTAGTTGTAGTTGAACACAATACCTCTATTTTATTTATTTATTTTTATGTGGTGCTAAGGATCGAACCCAGGGCCTCACATGTGCTAGGGACCACTCTACCACTGAGTCACAACCCCAACCTCAAACACTCCAAACTTTGAGTGGCAACTTCAAAAGGACTAAGTTCTAGGAGTAAGGACACTTCTCTAGGACAAAAGACCAAAGACAAAGAGGAAGGAGAAAAATTTAAACAGACCAGAACCAACAACATCTAAAATCAACCTTTGATATGTCAAGATGATCTGACATTTCTCTATCTGCCTGCCAAAAGCAAAACCTAACACCCTCTTCGCAGGACAACATCATCATCTAGAGCCTCAATAGTCTTCCACCTTAAATGACCAGCACACAATAAAAAATCATAAGACATACTAAAAGATAGAGCCAAGTAATTTAAAACAGAAATATATATATGACCCTCAGGTGATTCAGATTTTGAAGTTATGAGACAGGGACTTTAAAATAACTATGATTAATGCTCAGGTAAAAGGAGGAAAAGAATTATAGAATATTCTTTAGAGTGATAGGATAATTTCATCATTGTTCTAAATCTATTTTTTTAAAGTCAAGCAGAAATCCCAGAACTAAAAATTATTATGACAAAAGTTAATAATTTAATTCATTATTTGAATAGGGGATCATAAAAAAATTATAACTACAAGACAGGTTAGTGAAAATATTACAAAGGGAGAAAATGATGAAAATATAGAACAGGGCCTTAAATTATATGTGGGAAAAGGAAGAGAAGTCTAACCTCCATGCAGTTGGGCGTCTCAGAAGGAGACAAGAAAGAGATTTTAAATAAATACTGAGAATTTTTCAAAATTGGTGAAATGATATCAAACTGTATATTCAAACCATACTTCAAATCTCTGAGAAGATAAGGAAAATCACACTTGGACACATCATAATTAGATGGCTGAAAGTCAAAAAGAAAGAGGAAATCTTAAAAGCCCATAAAATAATGAAGGGATGTTATCCTCAAAGGAGCAATAATAAGACTGATATCTGAGTTTTCAACAGAAACTGTAAAGGGTAGAAGACAATTGGATCATAATTTTAAGTTACGGAAAGAAAAAAAAAAAAAAAACCTGTCAACCAAGAATTCTATTCCCAGAAGGGGAAAAAACAATCCAATAAATGTCCACAGGTCCCTGGGAATGGCACGTCTGTGAACTTACTCTGCATACAGGGATTAGAGGCCAGATGGTGTCCTCCCTCAATACAGAAACATTTGAACAAAGGGAGAAACGCAATTCTAAATGAGAACCACTTATTGGAGGTGACTTGCTCTATTTGTGTTAATAATAGGGACCCAGAACAGCATCGGCCCACAGAAGTATAATGTAAGCCACACATCTGACCACACAGATAATTTAAATTTTTCTCAGAGCAATATTTTAAAAGTAAAAAAGAATAGATAAAGCTAATTTTAATGATACTTTTGGTTAACTCAATTTTTCATTTCAACATAATCAGTATAAAAATTATTTAAACACTCCACAACTCTATTAAGTCTTTGAAAGTTACAGTCCTTGAAAGCTGTGTTTCAATTTGGACTAATATTTCAAGCTCTCAGTAGCCTCCTGTAGCTAGTGGCTACTACATAGCACAGTAAGAAGTGTGCAAAGGGTAAAGGGCAGTGGGATTCCACCCTGGCTGCCTTAGGATGCCTTGAGTGAGGAGCTCTGGAAGTACAGATGCCCGTGCAGGGCTGCCAAAGGGTGAGGCACTTAGAGCACTCATATTCAACACCAAATTTAAGGGGGGGGGGCAGTGAAAGACTCTTAAAAATAAATAATGTTTTAGTACATTTTATTTTAAAAATCAAAACTAAAGCTGTGCATGGTGGTGCACTCCTATGGTTTGGGAGGCTGAGGCTGGAGGATTGTGAGTTCAAAGCCAGCCTCAGCAACTTAGTGAGGCTCTAAGCAACTCAGAGAGACTCTGTCTCTAAATAAAATATATAAAAGGGCTGGGGATGTGGCTCAGAGGTTAAGTGTCCCTGGGTTCAATCCCCAGTACCTAAAAAAAAAAAAAAAAAATTAATGCAAGATATTGTGATGAATATAATATCAATTTTTTCAACAAAAATAGAATCTGATTCCTGATACTCTTTTTCTACTTCAGGTTCTAAGATGGATCAGCATAACACTACCTAGGGCCCACTCCAGACCAAATAAATCAGTATTTCCAGAGGTTGAGCCCATGCATTATGTTTTTGGTGCCGTGGATTGAACCCAAGGGTGCTTAACCACTGAGCCACATCCCCAGATCTTTTTTTAAAAACATATATGGATATAAATATAGATAAAGATATAGATAGATATATGGATATATATATATTTTTTTAAATATTTTTTAGTCTTCAATGGACTTTTATTTTTTATTTATTATATGTGGTGCTGAGAATGGAACCTAGTGCCTCACACATGTTAGGCAAGTGCTCTACCACTGAGCCATACCCCAGCCCCTTTATATTTTTTTAGTTGTTGATAAACCTTTATTTTTTACTAATTTATATGCAATGCTGAGAATCAAACCCAGTGCCTTTCCCATGCTAGGCAAGCACTCTATCACTGAGCCACAACCCCAGCCCCTCTTTTCAATTTTTTTTTTTTTTTTTTTTTTTTTTGAGAAAGGGTATCACTAAGTTGCTTAGGGCTTTGCTAAATTACTGAGGCTGACTTAACTTGCGAACTTCCCAGTCCCTGGGATTACAGGCATGTGCCACTACACCCACCTTGGCATTGTATTTTTTAAGCACCCAGATGATTCTAATCACTGAGGGCCATTGTTCTACTTCAAGGACTGTCCTAATGCTTGGATTTCCTAAAAAGTGAGGAACTGATAACTGTTAGCATATAATTCTGTTATGTGATTTCTTTTACCAAACTTCCAAAGTAAAGTTTTCCTTTTTGAACTTCAGTGATGGAGATCTCACAACTTCACAGGGCAGCCATTTCCACTATTGGACAACTCCAGGGCCACATCTTACTTATCTGGAGAAAACTTAAAATTTTCAAAAAAGGGCAAAGCCACATATATGAAAATAAATGCATGATATTTTATTTAACAGGGAATTAAACAGATGGTATAACCAGTTCAAAAGAAAATCCAAAAGTCAAGCCTCTTTATAGATCAGGAATATTGAAATAAACATGCAAATTAAGGCAAAAAAGGATTTTCTACCAGAGGACCAGGGGAGGAAGTCAACTGAACTCCATCAAACCTGACAGAATTTGTTTGTTCATCAGCTGTGAAATATCTCCCATAGAATCTGTCAGATGAAGCAGCAGGGTATGCTGCATACAATACATCATTTTCCACTGAAGTAAAAATTATTTTTCACACAACGAATTTCTTCCTTTTTCCCCTGCAATTGCTCCTCCATGCTTTTCGAATTCTGATATGCATGAGATTCACCTAGGAAGTGTGCTAAATCTTTCAAGGATCCTGAGCTTGGATAGTGCTCATGAAAATGCCTTTTTAGCAGACACATTAGATGATTCTGCTGCAGGTGTTCTGAGGATCATTCTCAAAAAACACTGTTGTAGAACATACCTACCTACTCTGTTTTCTTGAGATGGCCTTTTCAAATGTGCTTCTCATAATATTTGAAGATAGCTCTAGTTTTGGTTTGGTTTTGGTTTCGGTTTTGTTCTGGTTTCGGTTTTGGGTGTGTGTAAGATACTGGAGCTTGAACCAGGGGATTCTCCACCATTGAGCTACATCCTCAGCCCTTTTTTTTTTTTTTTTTTGAGATAAGGTCTTGCTAAATTTCTAAGTCTGGCCTCGAACTTGCCCTCCTCCTGCCTCAGCCTCCCAAGTTACTGGGATTACAGGTGTGCCCTGGCTAGATTTTTATTTGAATCAGTCTTAGTGCTCTTGGTGGGGTATATTTTCTTTGCTTCCAAGATAATATGCTATTTCTTTTCTTCCCACTCAAATCTCACAGGACAGACAAGGAACTATTTTTATATTATATGAACACCTGAAGAGAGACAAGCTGGGCATGCTGTGAGTATGGCATGTGTCTATGGGATGGATAAGCAAAGAAAGTGACTATCACATCCATCAAGAGTGGTGCTTCTCAAGCACTTGAGTTACCATGTCCATTTATTGGAAGTCTATCTTGTTTTATTTAGATCTTCAGGTATTTCATAAATGTGTTGGTCAAGATTTATAAATATAATATCTATAATCAAAGGTTAAGAGCCTACATTTAACACATTCCACTCAAGCAAGGTGCAACAAAATCTATTCACATGGGATCAGCTCAGATGTCCCAAGGATTGCCCTTCTTGCATGCTTTGAAGAGTGCTCAGGTGATTTGGCAAGTGTTCCTCCAGAGGGAGGGTCAGATCCAGTTTCTCCCCTGACATAGTCTTCTCAAAGTATGTGTGCTGGGCAGTACCCTGCTGGAAGTGATCTTTGCTCTCATCAATCCTCTTGAACTTGTGCAAATGTTCTGGTTTTTTTCCCTTTGCATCTAAAACGTGGCTACAATTTCATCTAACGTTTGAAGTCTTCGATGTTTCTCATCATCCAGGAAGAGGAGAACTGGGGTGTTCTCCACTCCAGTCTCCACTCAGGCCCACCCAGAAATGAGACCGCCATCTATAATGTCCCAGCTAGCATGCATTGCCCAGGTGTTCACTTCTAGGGTGATAATGGAACCACAGACACCTCTGGACATGCCTAAGGGAGGAGCTACCCTTGGCTTCCTGGCCATGTTCAGTCCCATAGCTCTCTCCCTTTCCTGACCCTTCCCCTGCCATGTTCTCTCCAAAGTAGTCCCTATGATGCTAGGGCTGTGGCTGGACATGAGTCACAAGCAGTTACTGTGACTAGGAGAACCAAGCTGTCAACTGGATTTGAATTGGCAAACTGATAAGAAGTTTCTAGAGACACAGTCTAATTAGGCAGGAAAGATTCAAGATCCAAGCTTATGTCTAAGCTCAAGAATTCTGACGAATGGGTTTGTTAAGTACAAGAATTAGAAATGAGAACGCAGAGATATGACCTTTGTCTTACTGGGCATCAGATAACATAGAAGGTCAAGTGCAGAGGAAAGGGTGGGCTAGGACTGAAACCACACAAACCTTCACGCACATGAGATAAGGAAGGGAGGGGCGAGCTCCCTTCAAGTGATAGGTGGGCCTAATCCAGTCCCAGGATGAATGTGTGGGGTCATTCCAAGAGGCACCCAGTTCACAGCTGAGAGTCAGGAAGGGAGAGCCTGACCATAGGAGCACAAAGTGGGTGCCACTTTTGGAGACCCAAGCCAGCAGGGAGATGGCATGAAGAAAGTCTATTGAAAGGTGACAGAGCCCAGCAGACCGGGGCAGGACTGGCATCCCAGAATTGATGGGATGACCCTGGGAAAAGTGTTAACAGGGCAGAGACAGAGTTCCTGAGGAGGCCTCAAGAAAACTGATGCTGGTGGGTCCTTGGGCATAGAGGGGCCAGGTAAGAGGAAAACTGTAACAGAATTTAGGAGACAGAGAAGAAGAGATATGAGCAAAGGAACCCCCCTCACCAAGCCGCCTTTTCTACTGTCTTCTGCCCGTTTATCTCATCCCTTAATGCAATCATGCAGCCAGAGAGTGCTAGGGCAGCGAAGGACCTTCTCTTCACCACACAACAAAGTCCACACCGAGCCTCATATAGGGAACTGGTACATCACGCAGAGATGATGGGCCTGTTGCCCCTACTTGTGCAAGTTTGTACAGAATTTGCTAGTGTTCTTTTGTGAATATTAGAAAAGATCCCAGACTGTTCTGGAATTCTCACTTGCATCTAGCCATGCCTTCTCGAGTGTGAGATGAAAGGGCAGAATCACTGCACCTTTGTTAGACCTGGTGGTGAGATGTGAACACAGGCGTTTGAGAACAGGTGATTTAACAGATAGTGGCCAGGGGACCACCCAAGTTTATAGAACCCATGTTGAAAAGAAATCATGAGTCAATAGAAACTTTCCTCTGAGCACCTTAATTTTTCTGGAGCTTCTTAATTTTACAGGAGGCTTCTCTAGAGATTGCTGGGCTTTTTTGGCTTTATTGCAGTCAGGTGGTGCCAGGGGGACAGCATGCACCTGCTGCTGCCTTAGGAAAGGTGAGGGGCTCCAGGAGGGGACGACTTTATAGACCAGTTGTAATTCAGCTTTTCTGGGATAACTTTCTACTATCTGCAGGCATTCTGGGATATTTCTGAGAAATAGTGAAATTGGAAGAGAAATTTTAAGGAAAGGGAAATGAAAGAATCTCCAGAAATGAAGGAATTAACAGGGCCCCTCTACACACACACACACACACACACACGCACGTTCGTGCCCCCCCCACACACACCCCTGTAATTTCTTTTGAGAATAGGTCTCTATTTTTATTCTATGTATGAGAAGGATGTGGGGAGCTTGGTGAAATGACATAGTCCTGCACCCCCAAACCAAAGATGTTGGTTTTGTTAATCCTGGGTGAAGCCCAAGAATCTGTTTAAAGAAGGAGAAGGAGAAGGAGAAGAGAAGCACCACCACCACCACCTGGGGTCTTAATTCGTACTGACCCTGTGGTAATAAAACACAAGTTGCTCTTCAAAATTGCTGCCTGAAGTTGCCTTTGGCTATTACTTATTTTCTGAAAGGAAGCAGCATTAGTGTTTAGCAGCTGCAAGGAGTAAGCCATCTTGGATTTTGGTAATGTCACTCAAGAAGTCCAGAAGCACTGACTTAGTCTGGTTCCCTCATTTCAGAGAAAGGAAATGAAGACCCAGAACACTTAAGTACCTTCCCCCAAAGTCACACAGTCAGTGGCAGGACAAAGAGCCCTGGGCTTCTGTCCTAGCACCTGGGAGTTTTGATGTTACCCTGACCCAAGGGAAATCCTGAAGAGGCTGGAAGGCAGCCACTTCAAAAGGGACCAAAGCCCTAGACTCTTAGGGGACTTAACTTATGGCAACAACCAGGAGAGAAGCAGTCCCAGGTATTTGGGCAGTTGCCTTAAGAGGCAGCTTTTTAAAAAATTGTCCCTTCTCAAGTCAGTACAATTAAAAAGAAAAATCAATCCATTCACTTAATTTATTTTTTTCATTTAATGAAGTTTTTAAAAAATCACCAGAAAAATAACCTGGAGTTTTGTTTCCAAGTTAAAACATAAGCAATCTAGTTGTCTAGAGTGTTTTCCCACTATACTATAATACTACAGGATGTTTTTTCTCTGAAACCTTCTTAAAGTGGCCATTCTGCTTTGTAAAGACAGCCATTCATGATTGGGCCCCCATTCTCCCTCAGCGCAAGTGCAGCAATTTCATAAGCAGCAGGAATCACTTGTACGCATGACATAAACAATAAACCCCAGACAGAAGTCTCCAGAATCCAGAGAAACAAATTTCTCTTTGGACAAGGAAAGTGTGAGGCATGAATGATACTTAGCAGCAATTCTCTTTAAACAGTTTTTTAAATGAGTTAATACTACTGTCCTAGCTCAGTAGTAGCCTTTTGCTAGAAATGACTAAACCTATTGCTATCATCTGCTAAGTTGATTAATAAAAAAATATTTATTACGCAAACCCTTTTTTGTTGACAAGTTAAAATGGAGCCTCGTCTTTCATATCTCCCTGAAGATTGCCACCTTGTGAGATTGAAAATACTCATTAAATTCCATCACCAGACGCACAAATGAGAGGGCGATTGTTTTCAAGCATGTGAGGGGAACCGTTGGTAAACTCATTTGTTTGGATATCATTAACAGAACAATCGGTGTGGATCTCCAGGGGGTCCTCATGACCTTTGCTCGCAATCTCTTCATCATCCATCAAGAAATATCAACACCTAATATGCAAGGCGAGACCAATTTTAAGGTGAGGTGTTAATTAACTAACGATCCTGGTTAATTTCTATACAAGGGCTGAAAATACCTCATGCTGTATTGTAAACAAGTGCTAAACCATCTCTTTTTTTTATTGTAAGCAGTACATATTTTACAATGTGCTGGGTCAATATTGTAAGGTTCCCACTGAACCCGTTAGTTAAATTTTATAGTTTGAAACTTTTTCTTTGAAATATAGTAGGCTTGCTTTAACTTGGTGCCATGTTCAAACCCCAGCTCTTGCGACAACAGCTTTCTGATGCTGGAGGTGAAGTTGAAACATCACAGTAGAACCAGAAGAGAGACTGTCCCAGCCAAAATTTGTGAATGTGACCTCTCTGTTTCAGACAATCTGTTGTCTAGGGAGCAATTCCTAGAGAGCCCCAGTTTGTAGAGCCAAAGAAGTTCTAATGCCTAAAAGGACAAATTGTTTTAGGCAGAGGCAAGAAAAAAGTCCCAGCTATATGTGGGCTGTCCAGTCCCCACAATTCCCCCAAAGTGGGGTGGGTGTTTCCCCACTCACCTTATTGAAGCCTCCATGTGGCCTCTAAGGATGTTCCTTGAAGTCCAGTTGTGGGTGACTGACTAGAAGTTTCCACATTCTACAGTCCAGGAGCAAGACCTGTGAGGGAGTTTTTAAAATCCCAGCTGAACAGAGATGATGGCTCAGTATCAACCAGTAAGGTCTGAATCTGATTCCCAGGCTGGACCTTCATTGTGTTTGAATGAGTCAAGTGATTCAAAGGACTCAATTAGAAATCACATAAATTTTTCTCTTATGGCCCAACTAAAGCTTGATAAAAATGTAATTTTTATTACATTTTTTTAAATTCAAGCTGGAGCCTGCCCTCTTTAATAACAATGATGAAGATAACTACATTTTACTCTTCAAAGTGATATTAAAATCTGGGATGATGACCATTGCTTTTCCTACAACATGATAGAGAGGATTCAAGAGGGAGAAATCTAATAGTGAGTCGGGAAGCCAGAGTGGGGAGGGGCCAACGGGTTCTTCTATTTTATAGCTAATAAGTTCAGCAAGGTTGCAGGACATAAGATCAATATACAAAAACCAGCTGACCTTCTATATACTAGCCATGATGAATTTAAAAAATAAAATACAAACCATTATGGTTGGATCAGGAACATCTCCCAAAGGCTCAGGTGTTGGAGGCTTGGTCCCCAGGGCAGTAGGGTTCAGAGAGGGCCTTTGGGAAGTGATTGGATCTCAAGGCCTCTGAGCTCCTCAGTGGATGAATCTACTGATGACTTCATAATTTGATGGCATTATTAGCAGGTGGTGGAAACTACAACTGGTGGTGCCTAGCTGGAGGACGTAGGTAGGGTATATCTTGTCTTTGACCATCCCCCAGCTTTGCTGCCCGGTGGCCATGAGGTAGCAGCTTTTCTCCACCACACCCTGCTCATGGTGTCCAGCCCCACCTCAGGCCGAAAGCAACGGGACCATGGCTGAAGCCTCTGAAACCATGAGCTAAAATAAATATTTCATTCTCTACCTTGTTGTTCTCAGGGATTTTGTCCCAGTGACAAAAAGCTGAATAACACACAAACCACTTCAAATTACAATAGTATAAAAAAGATGAAAAATTTAGGGTAAATTGAACAGAAAAAGTACAATATTGATGCATTAAAAACTTCTAAACATTGGTGAAATTAAAGAATACCCAAAAAAGTGGGAGGATATTCTATGCATGTAGAAGTCTATTATATTTCTAAGATTGCAATATTCCCCAAATTGATCAATAGATTTAATGCAATTTCTATCAAAATTTCCTCTGACTTTTTAGTAGAAATTGACAAGATGATCCTAAAACTTGTGTGAAGAGGCAAGGGACTCCGAATAGTCAAAATAAGGGGAACAAAAAAATTCTCAATTTCAAAGCTTACTACGAAGCTCAAACAATCAAGATGGTGTGGTACTGGCACAAGAATAGGCAATACAGATCAATAGAATAGGATTGAAAGAAGACTAAAAATAAACCCATACATGATGATTAATCGATTTTCAAAAGGGTGCCCAGACAATTCAACAGGGGTAGAATGCCTTTTTAATAGAGGATAGTGGAACAAATGGATAGTCATATCCAAATAATAAAGCTGGACCTTTGCCTGACACCACATACAAAAAATAAGTCAAAATGGATCAAAGACCTGACTGAAAGAGCTAAAACTATCAAACTCTTAGAAGAAAACAATGTTGTAAATCATCATGATCTTGGATTAGTAATGGTTTTAGGTAAGATGCCTAAAGCATAAGCAACCAAAGTATACATAGATAAATTGGATTTCATCAAAATCAAAAGCTTCTATTTGCCAGGCACAGTGGCACATGCCTGTAATCCCAGCGGCTCAAGAGGCTGAGACAGGAGGATCGTGAGTTCAAAGCCAGCCTCAGCAACAGCGAAGTGCTAAGCAACTCAGTGAGACCCTGACTCTAAATAAAGTACAAAAATAGGGCTGGGGATGTGACTCAGTGGTTGAATGCCCCTGAGTTCAATTCCCAGTACAAAAAAAAAATCTTCTGTACATCAAACAACACTGTTAAGAAAGTGGAAAGACCACCTAAACAATGAGATAAAATATTTGTAAATCATAAGGATCTAGCATCCACAGTATGTAATGTACTCTTATACCTTAAGAAAACACAGAATATCCAGTTAAAAAGTGAACAAACAATAGACCTTTCTTCAAAGAACATATACAAATGGCCAATAAGTAGATGAATAAATGCTCAACATCATAAGTCATTAGGGAAAAGCAAATCAAAACCACAACGAGATACCATTTATACCCACTATGATAGCTTTAATTTAAAAAGACAATAACAAATTGGCAAGCACATGGAGAAAATGGAAACTGAAAAACTCATACATTGCTAGTAAGAATGCAAAATGGTATCACAGTTATGTAAAGTTTGGTAGTTCCCCAAAAAGTTAAATGCAACTGGGTGTGGTGGTGCACACCTATAATCCCAGTGGCTCAGAGGCTGAGGCAGGAGAATTGTTAGTTCAAAGCCAGCCTCAGCAATTTAACAAGACTCTAAGCAATTTAGCGAGAAGCTGCCTCAAAATTTAAAAAATTAAAAGACTATGGATGTGGCTTAGTGGTTAAGTGCCTCTGGGTTCAATCCCTGGTACCAAAAAAAAAGTAAAATGTAAAATTACTATATGATCTAGCAATTCCACTTCTACGTATACACCTGGGAATATAGAAAATACAAAAATATGTATATTATGTTTATCAAACCATGATTCATAAAAGCCAAAAAGTATAAACCATCCAAAACATTGGGAAATAGATGAATTCCTTTATAGTATATGGACAATATTCATACAACAGAATATTCATACAACAGATAATATTAAAAAAGTCATAAAAAAGGAATGAAGTACAATAATCTGTGCTGCAATATGGATCGACCTGAAAACATGGGAAGTGAAAAAAGCTGGTCATAAGAGGACAAATACTGTACGATTGCAAATATATAAAGCATGAGAGGTAAGCAAATCTATGGGCACAGAAAGTAGGTTAGTGTTTACCAGAAAGTGGGGGAAAGGTAGAAAATGGGAAATGACTGCTAACAGGTACAGGGTTTCTATTTGGAGCAGTGAGAATGTTCTGAAATTACACAGTGGTGAAGGCTGGTATTTACCAAATACCACTGAACTATATACTTTATAAAGGTAAACTTTATGGTAACTCAATAAAAAATAATTAAAGGACTGGGAGTGGGCTCAGTGGTAGAGTACTTGCCTAGTATGTGTGATTCCCTGGGCTTGCTCAATCCCTGGCATCACCAACGCCCTACTCTGCCACCACAGAACCCAAAAGTTAATTAATTAATTAATTAATATGGGAAGGTGTTATTTTACTCCCCAAAGACCAATAGAAATAAGCTTTCCCGGGGCTGAGGCTGGGGCTCAGCGGTAGAGCACCCACTTAGCACGTGTAAGACACTGGGTTCGATCCTCAACACCACATGAAAATAAATAAATAAAATCAAGATATTGTGTCCAACTACAACTAAAAATATATTTTAAAAAAAGAAAAAATAATAAGTTTTCCCTTCAGCTTGCTGGCCATCTTTATAGGATGACCAGACCAAACTTCTCAAATTATCTGTAGTAAAGAACTTATTTGTGGGCTGGGTTGTGGCTCAGTGGTACAGCACTTGCCTACCACATGTGAGGCACTGGGTTCAAACCTCAGCACCACAAAAAAATAATAATACAGTTATAAAAAAGCTTATTTGTTTTGTTTTGTTTTGTTTCTGACATACCATGCATTAATATACTTATGTAAAATACAACAAAATTGAATTATCAGAAGAATGAAGTAAAAAAATTAAAGCTATAAAAATGTAAATTTACTTTATGATCCAGAAATTCCACTCCTGAGTACCTACTTGAGAATACTGAGTTTGCATTGGTTAAGAGACTAATCAGAGCAGATTATAATGTTTTCATTATTAAATTTAATAGACAAACAAATTTCTAGGAAGTTTTCTGACTTCTTTTAATTTTTTTTTTTTTTTTTTTTTGGTATTGAGGATTGAACTCAGGGGCATTCGACCACTGAGCCACATCCCCAGCCCTATTTTGTATTTTATTTACAGACAGGGTCTCACTGAGTTGCTTAGCATCTCCCTTTTGCTAAGGCTGGCTTTGAACTCACGATCCTCCTGGCTCAGCCTCCTGATCTGCTGGGAGGCATGTGCCACCATGTGTGGTTTTACTCTCAAATTTTTTACTCCTTTCAGCAAGACTGATAGCAAATAATCCATAGATGGGTACAGGTCAGAGCAACACACTTTGAACAGAACTAGTCTAAACCGTACTTAACTCCACAAAGAAACAAGGCTTGAGGGATTAGTATTGTAAGAGGTCTTTAAGTGATGAATGTTGTTTTTATTATTTACAGACCGCCATTGATGATATTGAAAGTATTCTGAAAGTAACAGAAGAAAATAAAATCAGATCCGAAGAGAAGCAGTCCAAAGACAGTGATGACCCCTCCAGGCCTGATGCCAAGGCACATTAAGATTTTGGATACCAGTCTGGAGCTGGAAAGGGCAGTATTTCTTTTGTTATAGGAATAAAAGTCAGGGGAAATGAGTTTGTTTTGTTTTCTAAGAGACAAATCAGAACAAATTATAATGTAATGCTCTTTTTAAAACTGTGTTTATTAAGTGATATTACTTCCCTCCATGAAACCCAAACTCGTTGGTGTTCTCACTTGAGAGTGTCAAACAATCCCTTCCTCTTCCCAAACTAGGGAAAAAAATAATCTTATAAAAGAAGAAAGGGACAAGTCTAACTGATACTTCATCTATTTCTCAGCAAGCTCTATGATTATGCACTTTTCCTTTGTTATGTTTTATAAAGTTTTCTCCAATTTCTATGATTCATATATCTTCTACATTTCAAACATTGAATAAAGGCATAGTCATTGCTCTTCTGGAAAAATTTTTTTAAAAAAACAGTCTTTTTTTTTCCCCAAGTAAATAATATGAATTTTTTAAGCAGTGTTTTATCATTCTTTCTTTACACCAAGCCCCATTGTTTGTTGTTACTGCCTTTCGCCAAAGAGTTAGCCAAGGCCATGTCTGGTTTGCCAGAGCGGGAGAAGGGATCTAGGTGGCAGCATCTGCTCTTGGTTTAAGATGCAGTGTGACTGGAGCCTGAATAAACATTGGTGTTCTCTAGTTCTCTGTTTCACACAGTCCTGTGACTCTCCCTAGCTGACTTCAACAGCACCTGCCAAGGCAAACAGTTAAAGTCTTGCAGGGCTGACGCTAACTCTCGGGATTGGCTTCTTAATTGTACCCAAATATTTCTACATCAGTCAGCTTTACTGAAGGGTGAAATAGCAAGGTACAATACCAGAATCACGTATCAGTTGAAAGAATGGCCTTTGAATCTATAAAAGTACTTGAGTGTGTGGGGGAGATAAATATTTTTACCTATGGAATTTCGATCATTTTTAAACTGCTCTTGCCACAGGCTATGAGTTTCTGGAGAAAATTAACATTTCTCAGTGTGTCCGCTTTTGTTTTGCCATAGTTGGAAATGCATTCATTAGCTAGGTTTCCTGCCTGCGCTAGGTACAACCATGACCTCTTTTTCTTGCCAGATCTCTAATCCATACGAGGGGCCTATTGTCCAGACACTTGACTGATAGGAAGTCCTACATGCCCATTAGAGTCGCGCCTCTATTGAAGCCAGAGCAACATAAGGTCCAAGAGACTCATTAGTTCACTGGCACAATCGTGTCCTGAGAGTAAATGAAACCCTCTGTCTCCTTATGGCTCTCATCTGCTCTGGACTTTAAAAGAAAACTGTCTCCGTTTTGTTCAGCCCAGCAGTGGATCATTCACATGGCGAAAACCCTCGCTAAACAGTACAGAACTGTTAAATCCATCAGGGAAGTTTTGTTTGTGGATTTTGATTAGCACTCCCAAGCCTCAAGCTGCTGGCAATAGGAAAAGGAGTCCACTCTCCTGTACGATTTTTGAATTCACATGATTGGTTTCTCAAACAATGCCACTCGCCTCCTTTGCATATATCATTACCATATACTGCAGAATGCTTCCAAATTCAGGCCTTCTCTCCAGAGTCAGATCTCACTACAACAGGACCAGGAGCAAGGTCCTCTGCCTAAACACCTACCACTTCAAAATGAAAAGGCGAAAAATTGGTATAATAAAACAGTCACTTCAACTAATTAAGTGGAAGAAGCCAGAGGACCAGATTAAATTAGTGAAATGTTTTAATTACAGAACATTTAAAAAGAAGCATAGTCCATTATCTTTTAGCACATACATGCTACAACAATACTGTGCTATGGGTAAACTAAATTAAGTTCGGAAAAAAATTATTCCTATGTACACAGTGTCTGAAGTACCCCAAACATAATTTAGTCAAGATCAATGACTGAGATTTTACTATTATAAATAGGATACTGAAATCTCTGTTGGTAAGAGGATGCTTGGAAAATGCTGTATCATTTTTCAGGAAGTTTGGGGGAAATCAACTTATATGAGAAACAACTCATTGTTTAATGTGAATGTTTGCAAGTGTTAGAGAAGCAAATCATATTAACCATTTAGGAAAGCATTATTGAATAAATATTACCCATTTTATATCACCTTTAAAGAAACAAACTAGATGCTAACATTAAATACAGACAACCTGTGCTGTCTGACTACATTTCCATTATTCACTTACATTTACAACTTACTGAATACTTGCTAGGGGGCTCGGTGTACTGTGCTATATTTTGTTTTATTGCATCTTTCCCACAAATCTATACAGGTAGGTACTGCTACTATCTTCATTTTACATACCATGAAATTCAGATTTATTGATCTCATCCCATGCTTTAGGCTAAATGAAAATAAATTTGGGATTTGCTGTCTTTTATCATAAATCCTAGCATATCATGTAAAGTAGAAGGTTCGGTTTCATTTGCTCCAGGCCACACATGGTTTCTCTCTTCTATCACAAATTCTAGTGTGCTTAACATGTAGAACAGGTTCATTTACACATACCTCCTGCTAATAAAATCAACCTGTGCGATTGGCAGCATCATAAGACAACACAATCATGTAAGCATATAAATCAGAAGAAAAAGTGGTCTCAGTGGAATTCTCTGGTGGCGAGGGATCTATAAGACTTTGGTGGGGAAAAGACACCAGGAAGATTCAATAGTTTGGAAGCTGAAAGTCATTCCCTGCAGTTTGGAGAGATGGATATGGGGGCAAGAAAGCCTGAAAGTAAGGCCAGAAAGGGCTTCCAATGAGATAGAAAATAACCAGGCAGGTACTGTCTTAGCTATGTCCTCCAACAATTGTAAACATCCCATTTTCCAATCATAAAAATATGTCTTTTATCCTAAGTAATATGTTTGTAACCTATCTGATAGCTTTAACAATTAATAATCATTTGTATTCTTCTGGCACCTTTCTTCTAAAGAGCTCAAAGCGCTTTACATTTATTATCTCATTAATTTCCAACACTGTCCCTGTGGGGAAGGTAATAAGTATTTTAACATTTAAATGTTTATCTTTCAAATTTTCTCAAGCACAAATTAATTATATTTCCAAAAATGTAAATGTTCATTAGTTTTATTTTACTGTTCCTCTGGCTTTCATGTGCATAACGCACTTGTTCAACTCCTTAAATGTACAAATCAGAGTAAATTGCATTTGGAAAACCATAAATTCAGTTGCCAAGATAATGTGAGGGTGGACATTGGGTGAGGGATGCGTTTGCTTTTGCTTTTCTCTCTGGAAAAAGCTTGGTCCAACCCACTGCAAACACAAATGAAACGTGCTGGATGTGGCTCCTCTGTATTTTCCTTATCCAGTTTGTTAAGGTTTAGATCTGGTTTGGGTGTGTCCCCCAAGGTTAAAGTGGGGAGCAGGGTGCCCTATGTAACAGGTGTTCAGAGGTGGTGGGTCTTTAAGAAACAGGGCCGTGAGGAAGGTGATTTGGTCAACCCACCCTTGGGGTGGTTTTTGTGATAAAAGAGAACCACATAAAAGAAAATCCACATGCTTGAGCTTCTCTGCTATAGCTATTTCCCTTCCCAGTTCTCTGAAAAGTTGTGACACAGCCAAGGAGGTCCTAACCAGATTCTGGCATGATGTTGTTTGGACTTTTCAGCCACCAGAACCACAAGCCAAATAAAACTCTCTTCTTTATTGAGAACCCAGCCTCAGGCTGAGGATACAGCTCAGTGGTAGAGCACTTGTCCAGCATACATAAGGCTCTGGATTCAACTCCCAGACCTGAAGAAACAAAAGAAAAGAAAAGAAAGAAAGAAAAAAGAACCCAGCCTCAGGTATTTTGTTATAGCAACACAAAATGAACTAAGAAAATATTCCTTCCAAAATGTGTGCCACAGAAAGTCATGACTGCATCTAAAAGCCTGAGGCAAATGGAGCTAATATTTATAGTATTTAAAAAAAGTTTTTTCATTATCTTCTTTTTATACCTTTATTTTATTTATTTATTTTTATGTGGTGCTGCTGAGGATCGAACCTAGTTGCCTCACATGTGCTAGGCAAGTGCTCTGCCACTGAGCTATTGCCTCAGCCCAAGCATTTTTTTTTAATGATGTCATCATCATGGAACAAAACTCTGATGCATTCTATTAGGAGTTAGATCCCAACGAGTCACAGAATAGTAAGAGCCAGGAAATGGTCTCTGCAAGCCTCCCTCTCTCTGTCTGGTCATATCTTCCTCAATTTTTTATCTAGAAAAATGGCAGATAGAAATACCTGCTCCTTAGGGAAGCAGTAGAGATTAATTGGCCAATGTTGGGAGAGTGTTTCAAAGATGAAGCATCACACATAAATGTTTAAGTATTATTATTACATTGCTACTTCAAATGGAAGTTCTAACTTTGAAATGTGATTATACACTTTCCAGAATAAACCCTTCATAACCACATATATAGGTTTATTTTTCACTGTAACAGTCTAACTCATGGTTGTGAAACTTTATTGCACTTGATGGAGGGCCTTGGCTTTTATTAGTTTTAAACTGCTGGTTTCTGGGGTATTTATGTAAATGAGGGAAAGATACCAAAACAGTAAATAATAAGCATATCCCTGCTGTTTAAAAATCTGTTGGTAAAAACAACTTTTGTTTTATTATAAGAAAGTCCTAAACATAGCACAGAAAAATATAGCTTGAACATCTATGCCTAAAATAGTTTAGAAGGGTTTTGTTTGTTTTTTGCTTTAGTTTTTGTTTTCTGAGGGGTTTTGTTTGTTTTGGATAGTGGCTTTCCCCTAAGCATTTTTGTTTTCTTTTGTTTCTACAATTGTATATATGTGTACACACACACACACACACACACACACACACACACACACGGGGCAGGGGATGGTGAGTAAAATGGTACATTTAAAAATTTTTTAATTTAATACACTGTTATAAAGTCTACCAGATGGCTGGTTATAGCTCCTGGAAACAAGGCCACACCCAGGTTTATTATGTTTGCCTCATAAGGAAAGTTATGATGAAATCATGGTCCCATAAACTTGACAACAAAATAGCAGACCTTCTATTGGTTGCAAAATAAATTCCAAATTAAAATTTTAAAAGATTCATTTAAAAATTCATGTCACTTTACTTCTCAGCAGAAGACACAAAATACTTATTTTTCATTTATTGAATAACTAGGCACATACTATTTCCAAATTCCCTTTATAACATTTTTCCATTCATTCTCATGTTTTTTTAAGTTGAATATAATAACATTCCTAAAAAATCATTTTCAAAAATTGTGAAAAATTAGAAATATCTAAATGTTCAATAATAGCATGTTGCCTATTAAAGATCTCTATGCAGCTAGCAGAGTCATATGCTACCTACCACAGGATACAGCCTTTCCACTTGGAGGCACTTGCCCAAAAGAAAAAGA